TTTGGACGAATGTTGTGGCAACACCAAAACCCGTTGCCTGCGCAACAACTCCCCAGACTCCCTAAACGTCACAGAGGGCTTCCCCGGCGCTCGACCCGCAGAGCGGGGTCGGCGGATAGTTGCAAATATCACTTATGCAGCCTCGATTTGCAACTGAGCCATTCCTATATAGTTCAGCAGTTGATTATTAGTAAGGGGTTTACCTGTTGTTGTGCCAGGGATGGTTGAACGAAGAAGGCGGTCTGGACTCAGTCGATGTCACTATTCTCAAAATCGAGCTCAGATGAGCAAGAGCGGCACAGCTTCCCTCCTGAAGCATCCAGCAAACCAAGGAAGTCACGTTGACTCGAGAACAGCAGATCTTACTACAAGAGCTAGAGGTCAAACTTGTGCTTGGGCTGCACGGAAATCTTTTCAAGCCAGAGACTCCGACAGCTCTCAACTCTAGCTGCCACCATGCTCCAATACATGCGTGATTCTTGCGCTGACTCTAGCTCTCAGGAGCAGACTTTATTGACGGCCTGCGTCTCAGAAGTTGTCAGGGCTTGACTGGCCAAGCCCGCGTCAGGAGTGATGTTTCAGTCAGTGCACGTGTGGAACCATCTTTGCATCTGCCCAGGCCATGGCGTACGGCAGGGTCGTGATTGTAACCAATGCGTTGGAGGGATGGGTGGAGACAAGCTGTGCAGCTTTCCTTCCAGGCTCCTCTGCGCTCGAAAAGCATCGGCTGCAACGTAATCGGTGTTGGCTCTGTGCTGAAAGCCTTATCATATTGAGCAACATCCTCTGTTCGCTGAGTGTTGCAGCTTACAGGGAAACTCGTCTGACTAATCCTCGTTGTTAAGCTGTTTGGCACGTTGCCGTGACATGCGATCCAGAACAGGGGGGAAGAGCAAATCGCTGGCGGCCCTGAGGTTTGCGTCCGCTCCTGGATGAATTAGATATTGTTTCTGCTCGTTCCACATACGCCGCTTGGCATTTTAAGTTGCCAGGTCTGGCAATTTGTGTTCACTGATCAGTACAGTGAACTTCCATGCCACAACTTCATGAATTCGAACATGACATTGTATGGAGCTGAAGAACTGGCCCAAGATGCTGAGGAGAATCTCGGGGATGCATCGCCTACGTCGTGGAAGCGGCGAGCCTTTGCAGTCGCTCGGAGGGCAACGATGCCTTGCACTGGGGATAGATTTGAGATGTTTGCTGTTAAAGGTCCTCCACCACTCATCCTGCCAATTACCGGGTGCAGAGTTGATAGAGCAGCATGGGCGACGATAGTCAGCATGCATCAATGTGGAACCAGGACGTTATCATTGCCGCGAGCGAAGAGATGGAAGACAGTAGGCAGGGTTGCTCAAAAGTGTAGAAGGCCAAGGGTACTTCTGCAGGCTGCAGGTACTTTCTTGGCTGTTGAAGGCCAAAGCTGCTGACGAAACCGAGCTATTGCAGCTATTGTATGTAATATGAAGCTGCTCCAACACGCGTCAGTTGCGGCATGTGGCGTGGTGCAGAATTGAGTTGCTTTTGTGCAGTAGTTCTTTGCATCCCAGCAGCTTATTGGCCTCTCTCGCTCGCAGGCCGAACATTGTGTGCGTCGGCGACTCGATGTGGCCCGGCATATCACATCTGATGAATGTCATCCGCTTGGACATAGCAAGAGGATGTCGCATCTTCTGACCTTGTCCTTCATCCTCCCCTGCACGGTGCATGTGCTTTTTGTTCATGGTGTTGGGCTGGGGCTGGGCGCATCGCAAAAGGGGCCTTGTGATCAGGTATGAGCACGCTGCACTTTCCGCTGCCGTCCAGGGTCGCTCGGCAGCGCTTCACGGACAACTCGGTTCCACAAACCCGCCTCGCTGAAGAAGCTGCAGACATGAAGCAATCATGCATGAATGGAATAACTATCTCTCATAACGCCAACATGAAATCTGGTGAACATCATAGTTATAGTTCGTATGGAGCAGTCACAGCGGTAGCCGCAATTCCTCCTCATAGCAAGAGTGAGTAACTTTCAATAGCAGGCTCAGCAGGAGAAATTAGCGAGAAATGTGAGCCAGGGCTTTCCAATTTCCATCCGCGGAGGTATGCCCAGCTGCCTCAGGAAATCATTGAAGCTATTGGCACCTTGGGCAGAGATGTTGCAGCTAGTAGGGCAAGTCTTGGTGCTTGATATGAAGCAAGTAAACCGTTGTGTTAAAGTAGCCGCTACAGATTTCCCTTGTTTCCTTGGAAGGTATTCCAGTTCCGGGAGAGGGTCACTTCTGTTGCCTTCTTCAAACTACGATGTGGGCTCGTTCGTTGACCTTTCTTGTGTGCCGTTCTTCGATTCTACACTGTTGAAATTAAACGGTACAGTCAAGACGTCAACATGTTAGATACGACCCTGTTCTGCTCACGGAAGACACGATGGGTACATTCGCAAAGGGCTTTTGTGCCCTAGCAAAGCTAACTAAAGTATGCCTGGTCTGAAATGAGGAACGCCCTTGCATTCGGCAGCTCATCGAAGACGGGCTTGGGAGGGCACATGCATTTGACCGTAGGTGGGTTTGGCGGGACGTGTCAAGCTCAAACATCGAGAAAGAAGAATGTTGGCCAGCGGTGTTGATGTCCTGGATCAAGTGCACCTCTTTAGTCTCTCTGTTCTTGGTACTCGTAAGTATGCAGACGCATCTTCATGTGCAGGAACATGACTTGCTGTTGCAAAATCTCGATCACGCAGTGGCGCACGAGGAGCAATGCTCCTCACCTGGGTCATTGAGATGCGCGTTTACGTGTTGGAAACTGCTTCTTGATATCTCACCGCCAGGATCACTTGGAACTCGAAGTGTCTCCCGAGATGCTCTAGTGACTATATTTTCTGGGCTACATTATCGTAGTTCAGGGGCAAAGGGCCCCGCCCCAAAGCAGCTCGCTTGCAAGGGATGTGCTCTGTGGTTCAAGTCCATTGGTACGAGGGTCTCGGAGGTTCATTTCAAAAGGCAAGCAACTGGAGGTGAATGTGTTATTGTGTCCAGTTGTTCGTGGCGACCAGCTGGTGTAGGATTACTGCAGCTGTGTGATGCCAGCGCCATGTTTAGGCAAACGCTGCCAAGGTAGTGTTTATGTACATTGCAACCAAGAATTCGAGAGCGCAACTTGGTTGGGATTTGTTGGCTGGACGGCCTTGAGTAGCTCAACTGCGGATCCAGCGTTAAGGAGGCTTTCCGTAGAGTGCCGAGGGTCTTCAGCCTAGGCTCAAGCTTCACAGCTCTTAGTCCCACTTGGGTGTTCGTGCCAGGCCCAGTGCTGGAAAAGCAAGTTCACATGTGCTCACTGTCCGTTAGGTAAAGGTATCAACAGCAACTTAAGGGCGTCAGTTTTTGCATCACATTGTTCGACAAGGTGCAAGACAGTTGGCTTGGCTTCAGCAAGTCGAAAGATTCTTGGCAGCAAAAGCAGCATAAGTAGTCGTTGTCATTGGCTAGTTGCTCCTGCCGCTTGCTCATGTCCGTAAGCAAGCAGAGGATGACAATGGCGGGATTCTTGTTTCTGCGGGGTTGAGCGACTCCAGGAGACTTGTCCACCCCATGCGGAACACGACATTTTTCCCGATAAAGGCCCTCCTCGAGCACCGCCTTCGCCCATAACTTGAGCCAAGGAACATTTGAAGCTCCAGCCGGCAGACTAGGGTCGCCCTTGATGGGCTCCCTATCACATCGCTGCCTGCTTTCATGAAAGGTAGGGAGAGGTGCTTTCTTTTCTTTCGAGTGCTGGGAGTGCATGAGTCTTCGCACATGTTCTGGCTTTGATGTGACGGAGCGGGTCATCAATTGCTGCAAAACCAATCTCTTGCTTGAAACGGGTGCTGTTCTTTTTGCCTGGCGCAGCACGGATCTACCAAGCTTGACATGGACCGCTGCTCTTATTGCTCTAATTATCAACTAGCCTTGTGATTGTTGTGTGGTGTGGCCAGTATAGGTCTTCCCTTCACTCATGAGTAGTGCTGGTCCAGCTCAAAAGCCGCAAGCCAAGGTTGTCAGCGATGGTGTGCTTTTGCATACTTGTGCCTGTGAAGACAGTGGCTGTTGTGGTCCCCTGCCACAGTGATTGTATAGTTTTCCGTTCTGAGCGGTCCGTCCGAACCCAGTTTTCACACAAGGGTATGGCAAGATGACATAATAACATCAACCCCGCACACGTTTAGCCAGTGACAGTCCTGGGTGTAGAGAACAGTGCAGAATTACGTGCAGCAACTGAGGACTTTTGAGCCTAGGACATGGCACGTCAGGGCTCTCCAGGACAAGTCAAGCGATTTACGGCTAAGCCAAGACATTTGCAGCCGCTTTGGTGCGGTTATGTTGCTGCCTAACTGCTACAGCCGCGCAGCGGCGAATTCCTATGTCTTGAAGATGGAGTGCCCTGGCCTGGGCAAGAATGCTTTTTTGGGCATTCTGCATGCCAAGCCGTTTCCTTGCAGTTGGAGACACAGTTGCAGCACCAAGGACGGTGGGGCTGGGCCTTTGGACTTTAAAAGCAGGCAGCTTCATTCAGCTTGTAGCCGTAGCCGCCGTGGCCAGAACAGGGGAGCCCAGCCCTCCGCTCCACAAGGGGATAGATGCAGCCATTTGCGCAAGTTGCGAGATGCCATAATGATGGCATCAGAATGTGTTTCCTTAACCAGTTGTCTTGTCCAGAAGAACAATCTAGATCATTGTTTATTGCATCTCTGGTTTGTCCATCCTGCAACCAAATTAATGCCTTTGAAATTCGGTTGGAGCAGTGCCCGAAGCCTTCGGCAGTGGCATCTTCAATTTTGGTGACTCCCTTCCAGATCCTCACACTTTTGAATCACGCCTTCAACACTTGGTCTCCCGGTGGGAAGTCCTAGAACTGTACAGTTCCTAGTTAGAACCAGGCAAGCACATTGCGATCGAGTTCGCACATAGCTGCCGACCGACCGTGGTGTCAAATAAAAAGTGAGTGCTATGCCGGACCAGAGTGTGAAGATTGGGCCCTAAACCCTAACCCCTAAACCCTAAATAGTAGGTTCTATTTTGGTTTCCAGTATCCCAATTTGCACCAACATACTATGGTAGTTTCCATTTTCTTTTCCATTATCCCAATATAGCCCCAATACGACCCAAGATAATCCCAGTTTCCATTTCATGTGTCATATTCACTTCCATCTGATTCTCCAAAATAACCCCTATAAAATAGCACCAAAAATACATACCTTATAATCCCTATGTAGCCCATTATAAATGTAACCCCAAAAGAACCCCCAATCTAACCCTAATATTGTCCTAAAGGGTGGGCGATTCATTTGAAGCCAGCTCCTGTGCAGGCGACCTTTGCCAACAGCGTGACTCGGGTTGTAGAACAGCATGTCCTGGCCTTCGCGTAAAAGAAGAGCAGCTGGGCTCCATATTGGGGTCACATTGGGATAATGGAAAATAACATGGAAACTACTATAGTATATTGGGGTTATATTGGGGATATGTTGGGATCAGGGCCATTAGCAGAAATGTCATGATCATGATCATCATCATCATCGTCATCATCACAATGCGTCTTCTCTGCTTAAGGGGACCCGGACAAGAACATACGTATGGCTGCTGATTGATACGGCAGGAGATTTCGAGCAGCTAACGGCCATCAGCACGCACAGCTGAGCACAGAGAAGTCGTGGCGGCATGCTACGCTGCAACGGTGGCCTTGCCTTCGAATCGCGCTTACAATTGGCTGTGCTGCCATTTGGCGCTTCGGCCTGCTAACTCTTCTAAAACAGCTTTGGCCACAGTTGGACTTGCTTTGGTGGAGCTCCTCCAGATCCCTGCAGCCAGCGAGAGAAGAAGGTTTGGATGCAAATGTCAAGTCGTTAGGCATCCCCAAAAACAAGTTTTTTCTAGGCAATCGCCATCGGTATGTTGGCGTGGAGGCTGTGGCAAGGGATATTCGCAGAAGGAGGACCCTGCTCATCCCCGCTTTGCACGTTCGCTTTTGCAGAGCGTGCTTGGGCTCAGGGCCAGATAGCATGCGACACGCATGGATGACATGCTATCAACCCAGTCTTACTGCTGTTGCCACCCAGTGACTTGAGCACTCCAGAACGAATGCACAGCACCAATCCGAAGTCGCTGGCCGTAATGCGGCTGATGCTGTTCCCAAACAGCTAGCCATACATACCCTCATAAGTATCTATCCGCAGCCATGTTTGATGGGCTCGGCTGATGGATGAGGCTGCCATGTGTTGGGAACGTGTTGGGAGCTCTCCCTACACTGCGTAGAGCCATCTCGCTTCGGCGCCCGTAGGAACAAAGCTTTTTGCAGAACTTCGCAATGACTTGATATTGCTGCTTGTGCCTTGAGGTGACAGACTATGCCGGCTGCCGAATGCATCTTGTGTGCTGTGAAGCCACGATCAAATCACTCAGCTCGTGAGTTCAGGTAAGTTTCTAGCGTCGCCTTCAGATCTTGACTGTGACTTGCTGCTGACTGAACCCAGAGGAAACTCCAGCCTTCATCAAACTGGACATGCATGCACACATTCAGCTCTACAACGGTCTGCCCTCCCTATGCTTGAACTAGGACAGTTGTATTCCCATGTTCTGAAGTACTTGAATCAACCTCAGTCACAATGGCCACTATAGTGCGATCAGCAAGGTGCATTCCTCGAACGCAACTTGTATTCGAGACGCAGAGGCTTCGTGCCGTCGACTTTGCCTTTCCATGTCATGTCTAGGCGTGCAATCAAAGGCAAAGGGTCTTGGGGAATTGTGTACAGGCAAGAAAACAGTCTGGGGAAGAGATTCCTCGCCTCTTCGCTGCTCCTCACAATGCAGCCTGCTGGTTTGAGGAACACATGTTTGAGCAAACCGCTCCAGGGATCGTTTGAAGAGCGCCGGCGGCGACTGGACCAGCGCTTGCGGAAGCACGAGCCTCCACGTTTGAAATACCATTGCTTCTCGCTAAAGATAGCTCATGGCTTCTGAGGATGGTCTAGGAGCAGCATCCAAGATCATCCAAGTTGGAGCGCGTAAATGCTGGAAAGCTCGTGGGCGACGACAGTGCAGGTTCTTTTCCGGCCTTGAGCTGACGTGCAATCAAGTATTACAACTCTGCAAAGCAGGACACGAAGCCTTTGGATCCACAGCTTGTATAGAGGGACTTGGAGCTGCATCGGCTGGTGATGAGGATGAGAAGTTTTGAGACTTTCATCTCTTCACAGGGACCGGGGAAGCTGCTATCCTGACTTTCTGCTGGCTAGTTCGGTGCTTGTAAAATTCCAGGTCGAAGGAGATCTCCCGTGCAGACCTGGTGCAGCGGAACATCGTTCAAGGCCCTGGATTGTAATCTGTCCACCGGTGCTGTTTACTAGTCGCTTGTTTCAAATGCTCAGTGATTGTCGACGCTCTTCCTGCTACCTCTGCTGCTCGCATTTCCGGAAGAGGACGTGATGCCTCGAGAGAAAAGTCGCGGGTTTCTCCTTGACTGTGCATCCTGTTTCCACAAACCCATGCAATGTCTCCAGTTGTTGCATGATCCCCGTGGTGATGCCATGCCTTAACTGCAGCAGAGACTGCAATGAATATGTCTGGACTAAACTCTGCGGCCTGTATCCGGGCCCGCGCACCCTGTAGCTGCAGTTTGAGATAAAGACCGACATCAAGCTCTGCAGCATGAGCTCATCTTCATGCATTCGTGCCATGGTTGTCTCTGCCACATCAATCCCGTGATCATGCCAGCAAAAGCCCGTCAAACGACTAGGAGTACCGCCCTTCGAGACATGGAGGATTATAGAAGGCAGGTAGTCCAAGCCGGCGCAGGTCTCTCGGTTGTGCGCCAGGGTGTTCACATCCTGGAAGGCCTGCTGAGGCTTGGGCTGTGATAGTAGCAGGAGAAGCCAGGGTTTTGTGGTTCTCTTCCTTTGTGATGGGGCATGGCACCTCGGCCGATTGCGTGAAGAAGGATGAATTGGCGACATGCCGGCAGCAATGAGAAGTATGATGATCTGCACAGCCACAGTTCTCGTCATGAAGCCTCGACAGGTACTGCAGAGGGAAGGGTCTAATAGCTGAATCATTGCCAATCTAAGGTTATTTTAGTTGTCAGCAGCTCCTGGCAGGTCTCGCCCCACTCTGGAGCAGCTTGTTACTTCAAACAAGTCTCGCTGGCGGGTTTGCATGAGCACAAGGGACCATCAGAATGTGCGACACATTTTTGGGTGTGGAGCAAAATTCGCCGCAGCAGCATCTTTTGCATGTCGTGAGCGAACTCGTTAACATGAAAGCTTGACATTTCTCCTGCAAGTTCGAGAATTTTGAGACAGGCTGCCGCCAGACTACATCGACAAGGCCTGTGGTGTTAAGTGGGCCCGAGGTGACTTGAAGAGGCCTTTGTAGTCTTGTGCGACATGCTATTGGACAAAGGCAAGGTCTGTTCAATTCTGGCACCCAAAATGCAAATGGAAGGCTTCGTGAGAGCCATCGGATTGGCTGTTAAGAATGTCGGTCGGGAGGCTGTTCGACTGTTCGACGCCTGCATGTTGCTTGGACCATCTTGGGCCAATCTGGCTGTGGCTGTGCAACGCGCTGCGACTGCATCGTCCCTGTCCCGCAGATGTTTCCCAACGATGCCAGCGGCAGCGAGGCACCCAAAGCGGAGCGCAGCCAACTGAGTGGCATTGGGAGTTGTGGCATGTGGAATTGCATTCTTTCCTGTAGTAGCTTAAAGCGCAATGGCTCCACCTACAAGCAGAAGTCACGCCCCGGAGTGTGCGTCGATTGCTCTTCCAGTTGTCCAGCATCAAAAACGGAATGGTTTTGAGGAGGTGCATCGTTTGCATGCTTTAGCCTCGCTGCAGTGGAAACTTGGAAGCTCGCAACGCATCCCGCAATCTAGATAAATCTCGAACAGCATGTTTGTGTGCGGCCCCAGCTACTGCCATGCCCAGGCAAGCCAGCGGTATCGCTGAACCAGCTTCTTGCTCCGCCGTTCGCTTAATGTCATTGGTGCCTGTAGGGCAGTTTGCTTTTGCCGGAGACTGGGTTATGATTCCAATCGTTCTCGCTTGACGAGAAGGATCTAGGCGGACGTCGTGCGTCCTCCAAAGTTGCGGGGTAGTAGGAAACACGTTTAGAGACGCCTACAGCCATATTTCCTCTTCTTTTTCAAATCGTGCTTTCTCTCGCTCTCTCTTCCCCTTCCTCCCCTCCCTCTCCCTCTCTCTCAACACGCCACGTTCGTAATCCCGATAAAATCATTGGAAAATCGGGTATTCCCCCTAGCCCGAAACTCCGCGTGCAATTACGTCCTTGCCTTGCAGAGGCCCAGCGGTCGCCAGGGCGCTGCCACAGCGAATACGCCGTCGGCAGGCTTTAGAGAAGTTTGAACACTGGCTGCTCGCCATCTCTAGCTCCTTTGCCATGCAGCTTTCGTTCCAGCCTTCAGAAATGCTGGCGTATGCTGGTACGAATGGCTGGCTCGTTATGCATTTCAAGACTCCAGACTTGGCTAATCTGAGTTGGTCAGGCTCTGGGCCGCCCGGCTATTTGCCACCTTGGCAAGGTGGTCAGGCGTGTGGGCCGGGTCGCAAGATCTGCAGTTGCCAAGATCTGTCAGTTTCTGGAAGAACTCGCGCTGGCTCTGCATATCGACTCCTACTTAGAGCCTGAGAAGGCGTCGTCTACTTGACGCCTTTGGCCTCCTTTGGTACCCTTTCGTCCGTGACTGACCTACATGCTCATAGTCGGCAGGTTCCTGTTGTCGATCCTGCGGTACTTGCAACGATGATGGTGCAGGCCACTTGTCTGAGTACACGTTTAGCAGACTGCATGGCCGTTTGTGCAACGCAGCGCGGCAACAGCCCAGCACGCATTGAAGCCAAGCCCTCACCAGGCGGCTATGATGAAGAGTCCGTCGCCCATCACTGGACAGATGGTTAGCTCCCAAGAGCTGGGTGTCCATGGGTGAAGTGTGCTTGAAATCGCTGCTAGCCAATAGACAGCTAGGGTTATTAGCTCTCATGCTTACAATGGCTTACAGCCCAGTGCATATGCTTTGATCAGGGTGCGATGCCCTATTCCGGCACCATGCCGCCCTTCAGCGGGGCGTGCTGTCCTGAGATGACTGGGCTGATGCACAAACTTAAACAGTTGAAAGCAAGCATTTAGCAGACTTTAGCAGGACAAACACCAGACAGTCTCAGGCATGAAGCTTTTACGCCAGAGATCTTCGTCAGCCCAAAAAAAAAGGAAAGCCCAGAAACTGAGCAGAAACTGAACATCACGCATGGCTGCCCGCCGCATTGAGGATGCCGGCCGCAGGATTTCCACCAGGGCGCCCGCCAGGGCACCCGCCAGGGCTCAGAACCCAGCACATGTTCATTTGTTTGGATGCTGCATTTGTCTACAGGCCATAATCCCCATTGATGGTGATGATGTCCTGAGGTGTCAGTGCAAACGCGCTAAATTGGGCAGTGACACTTAAACTAGTGAGGCTTCAACTTAACGTAACAGGTCAACAGCATTGCCTCCTTTCCTTGCAGTGCAGCGTGTTTTTGTTGAGCTCCCGCAGTCTGGGTCCAGGGCGGCTTTCCCTCGGGGTGCCTTCCAACTACCATCGCACGGAGCCTAACGGCATCAGGGAATGGCAACAGCCATGTTTGCGGGCATTCTTTGTACTTTGGGGGATGGGTTAGATGTAGGCAGAGGTACGTAGATCACTGCAGCTAAATGCGGCTGGGCCACCTCCCCGAGATGCCAGAGGCCGATAGCCTGACAAGATCACTGGGTTGTTGTTAAGGAACTTCAGTTAGGTAAACATCAAGGGTAGATGCAGTAATTAGTATGGTCTCCCCAATGTAGTAACCTAAATCAAGTTCCTAAGCGCTATATATCCCTATATATGTCCCTATATCATTACCCCCTATATCCCCTTATGAGTAAAAACACCCAATATATTAACTTAGATCAAGTTCCTTAACTGCCTGACAAGTTGAGGCCAGTAGCTCCAAGCTCTGAGGGGAGCCGCAGCGAGGCGCGGATGTGGAAGGGTGGAAATCATAGTAATGAGGGCTTAGGGTTTAGGGTTTAGGGTTAGTTGAATAATGATTGGTGATAGTAATTTTTTATTAACGGCAATGATTGGCATAATCGTAACAATAGTAATAATAACTATAGTAATAATTGTAATGACGGGGGGAGCCTCTTCCAACAATGAGTAGGATGTCCTAGCAACTATGATGCCGATGAATGCTTTGCAAGGGCGTTGTGAAGAGCTTAGCTTTGTTCAGTCTCAGGCAGGCCGTAGGGAGCCTGGAGGTTTTCCCAAAAATTGGGATCCCCTTTTATGGATTCACAGAAGGGACCTTTAGTTGCAGACATATAGTACCCTTAAGTAGATAGAATATGGCTTTGGGTATATTTAGAATAAAATCCCCACCTACCCTATACTCTATGCCCTATATAACCCATTATAGTAGTTTCCATTATCCCCATATGACGCCTAATATTACCCCATATTCTATCTACTGAAAGGGGATCACTGGGAGTAGAGCTCCAGGCCACCTCGCCCATAGCGAGGCCACCCACCAAGGCTCGGCTACTTGCTTTTTAGTAATAGTAATAGTAATAGTAATACGAATCCTAATGCTAGTAATAGTAGTAGTGATATAGTAATATTCATCATAGTAGTAGTAGTAGTAGTAGTAGTAGGAGTAGTAGTAGGAGTAGTAGTAGTAGTAGTAGTAGGAGTAGTAGTAGGAGTAGTAGTAGTAGTAGTAGTAGTAATGAATTGTTTATTTGAATTCTTTCGGGTGCGGGGGGCAGTGTGAGCTGAAGGGTTTAAAGTTTAAAGGGTTTGGGGTTCAGGTTAAGTTTAGACTTCAGGCAGGCTTTTGGACAGTTTGCGTGTGGAGATCTTGGCCGGGCTTACTGGTTGCATGCGTAAGCCCTTGCCGGAAAATGCTCCCCTTTTCCGCGTTTTCTTATCTACACCCCTATATGAGCTATAGTCTAAACTCCTAGTCTCCTCCTTAATAAGCCTTATAATACTCCGCTATATAATGCCCTATACAGCCCCCTTTAAGGAGTTAAGACTATAGCTCATATATATATGCCCGGAGCATCCCAGGACAGGATTTGGTAACTACGTAGCTGAGTGATCTCAGAGGTGTGGCATCGAAACGAACCTGAGGCGGGCAATTGGGGTTCTGACCTATCAAACGAGAAGGTGGCTGCAGTATCAACGCACAATGCCGCATTGCAAGCACGCAAACCTCTGCAAAGCATGAGAGCTGTGCTGCTCTGTACGTCACTGACGCAACTGACTTGGTTCATTGCTTGCCCTGCATACTGGAGCAGCCTACTTGCCAATGCATTTCTGCAGCGAACCATGCCCCGAACTCCTGTTTCAAGATCCTTTCAGCATTCTTGTCCCGCGTTCTGCTCGGCCAGCAGCCCCCCAACAGCGCTGGCGTGGACATGATTGCTCCGCCGCTTGGATGATTTCTTGTCTTGGCGCACGCACGTCCAGTTGCAGTTTCAGGAGGATTTCAAATTACAGCTTTGGAGATTTCAGATGCTACCCAAACATGAACCGTTTATGGTTGGTTTTCTGCTTCCTTCCTGATCCCTGAAGCATGCCTGCTGTGCAGCTTGCAGACGTCCAAGGATACGGCCCCCGAAGCCATCTATCCAGGCACAACTGCGATGCAAACACGCTTAGCAGGGGCCGGTGGTAGTTGTCAGCAGCTGAGCATGAATTATCAACTGCATGATGACTTATGAGAGGCGCAGCGTGCGGCAAGCACGCAGTACCCTTCTGTCTCGAGGACTACCACAGGTAAAAATTCAGTAGTGTTGTCAAATTCCGTCGCTTCCTTGCTCAACCAAACTTCCTGGGCTTTTTCGTGTGCCGACAGCCTTGATGCCTCAGCTTTTGCCTTTGATTGTAATGCCAGGACAGAGGTGCCGCCTTTTGTTACACTGCTGGCTGCCTGGATGCGTTTGGAGATTCACAAGCCTGAGAATGCCCTTGGGCCACGACAGCCTTCTGCGTCGTTCTTGTTTCAGCTCTCGTCAACAGGAATCCAAGAAGCTGCGACCAGAGAAGCATCCTTCCCAAATCACTTACCTCTGGTTAGCAGAGAATGACGGAACGGAGAAGAGCATGGAACATACATTGCTTCTGGAATGATATAGGGACTATGAGGACTCATCCTTCGTCCCCTGCTAACCAAAGGTAAGAACATGGCAAGGAAAGTTTCTGCAATCGTATGCTGGGCTCGGACCCGATCTCGCCTCCGGGAAGGCCACGAAGCTTTCATGCTTGCATGCTGCGAGTGAAAGGAAATATGATGATCTTCTGAGCCAAGTCTGCTAAGCTGCTAAACCCATTAGGCGGCTCAACGTGGATCTTGGACACTGGGGTTAGGCTTCAGATGCCCCTCGCATTCTCCAACAATTTTCGTTCTTGTCTCCAAACCTTTTGATTCCAGACGGCGAGCTTTAGATATCCACTGCTGTGGAGCAGGTGATGCGGCACTTGTCTGAGCAATGCTCCTCAAACAAGAGCCCCCCGCCAGTGCCGTTGCGGCTGGTACAGGCCAGTTTTCATATTTCGCGTTGAGGCTCCGCTGCTAGGGCCCAGTCGACTCGAGCTTTGAGACTGGGATTTCAAACCGGTCTTGAAAAGCGTGTGTGTGTGTGCTGCAGCAGCTTAAGTATTTCTGAAGTGGGATGACATGCACAGCAGCTGCCACAGAGGGATGCAGAGGGGGAATGCATGTTACAGACCCAAGGGGCCTCGGCGTCTTTCGCTTGAAGCATATTTGCAGCTCAAAAGGGCGAGATTTTCCAGGAAAGAAGAGCATGAAGAGGAGCAGCAAAACAGCTCCTGTAGCCCTATCTAACTGGTATCCACGTAGCCTCATGCTTTGCCTTGAGTACGGCCCGATGCCGCGGCAAAACAAACAGCATCCACCAGGTCAAGCAAATTAGCCGGCCCCAACTCGGAGACGATGCCCTTCAGCCTAATAAGCATTTGTTTGCAAGGCTTTGTCAAAAAACGCTGTCAACCTTTACGCAAGAAAGTGGCAGTACAAGGGTGCAGAGGAACACTTTACAAGCGCTGGCTTCGCCCGGGGCATCGCAATCTGAGTGCTGCCAATTCGCGCGAGTCTCAGCATCAGAGGCTTAATTACCGATGACCAGCCGGTTCCATTTAGATTGGTTCGTAAACCCAGCCCATTAGTCATTCGTCGGTCTACTCCTCTTGCCTTGTGCATCGTGCAGTGCAAGCCATGATGTGTCTCAGCAAGGCAGACTGAGAGATGACGGACCTCAAGATCACCGAAAAGCTGGGCACTCGCAACGCAGAACGTCGTGTGCACCAGCTCTTTCGCTCGTGCTTCGCGTTTCTTAGGCGGGTGTAGCTTTTGTGGCCTGTTGGGATGTTAGTCAGGCAAGTGGGGTCTGCCTGCTTTGGACCGAGGACATCCCTGGCCTACCAGAAATTCATGGAGGAGGCTTGCAGCGCCAAGCAAGAATCACATCTGTGCACAGGAGCAAAATCTCTGTATGCTGGGAGGCAGCGGTTCCACCACTAGAGTCACCAGGGCACTCTAGGGCCCTCAGCCTTGCAGTCACTTCGGCTTCCATGACTCCTCTTCAAGAAGTCTTTACTTCGGCTACTTGAAAGATGATCTTGTAGCCTGGGCCTCTAACATGTTTGGTATTGCAATGTTCTGTCGAGTTGCTCATCCTTGGGATCTCCTTGTGTACTTCTCATGTTTGTTCGCATGCAAGTTCAATTCATGGTGGATACCATAGTTGGTGAAGGTCTTATGACAAGTTGTTCTTGATGCCGGTGCGATGGGGATCAGGCCGAAAAGCACATCAAGAAGATACGCAAAGAGTGGCAGCTGGAGGTTGGCACAGCACTGCAGTGCAATTTGCCTTTGAAACTAGGGGTTTATGATCGATAGATCTGAATAGATTTCGAATTCGATCGCTGCTCTAGGTCTGATATACGTGCTTGTCTTGCAGGAGTTCCACGAGTCTTGCCAGCAGGAGTACATGAAGGCCGCCCTGGCAGATCTGTCGGAAATTAGGCATTCGATACAGCCTTATAAGGATCCAGGCGTTTCTGCCTAGCGCCAAACTTTGGCCAATGGCACTCAAGCTCCATCCTGCCCTTAGCATAGCTACTTGCAAACCCGAAGAGATCCCACAAGCCCACCAGACCTTCTTCAAGATGCAACCCAGCTGCCAGCTCTTTGGACGAATGAGCGTGCGTCCACTCCAACACATCCGGGGCCTGGGCCTCGGTTGAGAACGGACCACTCTATGCCACTGTTGACATTCACAAGCCTGGTGCATGTTGGACTGTCTTCCAGCGTACCCTATTCTCAGGTGTTAGGATTTGCCGTGTCTGCATATCGAAGACCGGGTATCTCCTTCGGATTTCACAGAATCAGGGAGTTTTTGTGGATGAGCTTGGTGGCGCAGGCATTGGCTTTGCTCGAAGGTTTTGCAACACCATGCGTGTTGTTGGCAGCTTGCGTTTTTGCTATGGTGCACGCTCGCGCTTGTTTGGGACTGCGGCTGAGCGCCCTGTGACGCTTCGGTGGTCAGACGGTCGGGAAGCCGGCACCTTCCTTCCCAAGTTTCTCCGAGAAAACACAATTGAGGCTTGGGACAACAGTTCAAAACAGCGATTGGACTTTGGTATACCATTGGGTTTACAGGTCAGAGATGCTGTGCCAGTGGAAGTCTCAAAGCCCGAGTACTCAGGCCCAGCCTTTCGAGTGCTTTTTTCCGATGGTCATGTTGGCCACTTCCCCCCACCACGTCCTGCAGACACAATGTGGTCTACTGAGCTCCGTCACAAAGCAAAAACGTATTGGGGAAATGAAGAGGCCTCAGAAATCCGAGATGCGATGATGGCAAGCAACGGACATCTTCGTTTTGAGTGGAAGGACCTTGTGGAAGACAATCCAGCGACAGCAAGAAGATGGATCGAGTCGATGCACACTCACGGTGTGGCATTGGTTTCTGGGATGCCCGTAACTCAACAAACACCTTCTGACGGTCTTCGTCAGTTTGCGCAGAGCTTGGGCACATTCCTGGCACCCAGTGTTTACGGTGAGACGTTCCAGATCAAATCGGTCACAAGCCCCAACAATTTGGCATACTCCAATCTGGGCTTGCAGATGCATACAGATTTGCCCTTCAATGAGCAGCCACCAGGCATTCAGCTCTTTTACTGTTTGCAGCAGGCTGACGAGGGCGGTGAGTCCATTGCCATGGATGGTTTTCATGCTGCGGAAACCCTGCGTCAACAGGACCCGGATGCGTTTCAGCTTCTTTGCGACCACCTGCTGCGCTTCCAAGATGTCACCGGGGAGTGGTTCCTTTCAGCAGAGCACCCTACCATTGAGTTAGATGCGACATGCAGCTCGGGTCCCAAGCTGCGACGGATCAATTTCAATGAGCGGGCGAGGGACTCTTGGCGACACTGGAACCCTACATCACTGGACAAAACAGCAGAGATATATGCGGCCTTGCTGAAGTTCGAGAAGCTGGTTGAAGAGCGCTCGCGCTATGTTTCACTGCGTTTGATGCCAGGCGACATGATTTGCACTGACAACTGGCGAGTGATGCATTCACGTTCCAGCTTCCTTGGCTCAAGACACTTTGTGGGTGGCTACTTGGATTGGGATGCAGTGCGGGGTCGCTGGCGAAGCTTGTCCAACATCTTCCAGAGCCAGTGGGATAGCACGAGGTCAGTTTAGTCTTCCTCTTGCAGACGACAAGAAAAGAAGCTCTTGAGATCTTGCTCGAGGGCACGTACTCTTCTCGGCGAGCAAAGCGAAGCCTATGTAGCAGTCTTGGCGTGAGATTCTGATTGGGAATCTCACGCAGCTCCTCATCTTCTGTGCTGGGGAGGGAAACACGCCGCTTGCAGGTCTGAAAACTGAAGTGCTTAAACAAGAAGCCTTCTTCAGTGGGCTATAGGCTTGCACGCCTGCAGCTAAAACTTTCCATACTCTCCGGTTCTTCATGTTCTCGGTGCTGTTTGGATCATGTTTCTAGCGTAGTAGTGTATCATCCTGCCCTGCTCAGACAGTCAATTCGTACACATCCTTCCAGCCCCCGGACCTAGGAGGAAAGCCAAAGCCTCGATACCTCATCGATCGTGTCGGTCTCCAAGAAGTGCTTTCTTGCTTTTCTTGACATGAATGGTTGTTGCCCGGAAGTGCTTCGGTGTCAGGGCATTGCCGCACGCAGTGGAAGCTGATTCATTGCAAGCAGGCTCTTTAAGCAGAGGTCCTTGCGTGCAAGAGAGCTCTGGCAAGAGACTGCAGAGTTTTGGCTCAGGAAGCATGATGAGGCACGCAGTAGGTCACAAAGGGCCACATCCACGCGTAGCTGACCCTGCAAACCTGAACAGTGAATCATAAGAATAAGACATCATCAGCTTAAAGCTACTCCTGCTTCTGCGCTGACATACTACCGGCCGAATAGTAGGATGCGAATTGCGAGGACCGAAACAAGCTCCATATCCATATATTGATCCATAAAGTCTGAAAAGAACCTCCACGCGCAAGTGGTACCAGCAGCCATGAACACTGCGACGAGGGGGCCAAAGCGGCGGAAGTCCAGTGCGAAGGTTCTCCCCAAGAATGTGTCCTACGTGGGAGGCCGCCTTGGTGAAGTTCTGGTTCTACTGTACTTTGCTGGTTGGGCGGTGCAATACACCTAAACAGGCAAGGTCAGATCTAAGTTCTTTTTTCTGTGAAAACTGGCCCACCGCTCAATCCTTGCAAGATTGACCAGACTGAAATGAAGCCCCACCTGATGGGCGAAGATGTTTCCACAAGCTCATTTTTATGCCGGGTCTGCTTCCTGCTTTCCTTTTTTGCATGGCCATCCTTATCATGAACTATCATGACTCTTCTCCTCATCCTTGCCGACAGTTTGAATCCACGGTCTGGGTTCGTGGTGCTAGGAAGAAGGGTTGGCAGGTGACGCGGCTTCGAAGGCTGCAACCTCGCAGTCGCTGGGTGAGGACCTGGGGCTTGGTTCGGAAAGGAAGGGGTGGGGCTGCGGGTTCGCGCAGTACGGGGATGTGGGTTCAGGCTTTGAGCGTGGATGTAGGTGCAGCTTCTGCACAATTTGGTTGTCTGTTTTGAGGGCTTGATGGCACTACCGCTCACATCGTCAGACTCTACTGTACTTACCAGGACCCAAATTGGTTTATCAAGTTCTTGTCCCAGTTGTCCAGTGCGTGGATTACTCATCACCATTGGTGCTAAACTTGGGTGCGATGGCCGTCATTCCACGACTGCGCACTTGCACCTGCGTTCGACAATGTTCGACAAGAAAATTGGGATCTCCTCTAGGAGGTTTGATGAGAGCTGAAGACAGGGCTAGGCTAGACTCAAGAAAGCACGGAGTCAGAGCATTTCTAGAGTGTGGACGCTCGTAGGATGTTCCGTCATGAACCTCGGCGTGACAGTCTCCACGTTGTCAA